TTCCTTCTTTCTTTTTTTTTAAATTTTTTTGTGGTGCTGGGGATGGAACCCAGGGCCTGGGACCCGCGAGGCAGGCACTCGACCAACTGAGCTCTGTCCCCAACCCCTGAGTGTTCTTTCTCCCACGTCATAAGGAAAACGAGCACCACTGTCCCGTGGGGTCACCTAACCCGTTGGCCCACCCCCTCTGGAGGTTCCTAAAATGGGAGATCAGGGTCCAGTGGCTCCTTCGTGCCCACTAACACGCGTGGACACTTGCTCTTTGGGGACACAACAATGAATCACACTCCCAGGAGCCCTGCTGTAGTCACCATTTTCACTGCTGTGACTTAAAGACCTGACCAGCACAATTGTAGAGGAGGAAGGTTTATTTGGGGCCTCACGGTTTCAGAGGTCTCGGTCCCCAGACAGCAAGCTCCGTTCCTCGGGGCTCGAGGTGAGGCAGGACATTGTGGTGGGAGAGTGTGGCAGAGGGAAGCAGCTCACGTGGTGATCAGGAGGCAGAGAGAGACCCCACTTGCCAGGTACAAATAGGTCCCGAAGCCACACCTCCCAATGCCCACCTCCTCTGGCCACCTTCAGTGGCCACCCAGTTAATGCCCAGTCAGTCACTGATGGGTAAAGGCTCTCACCACCCAGTCGTTTCTCCTCTGAACCTCCTTGCGTTGCCTCAGGCATGAGCTTTTGGGGACACCTCCCATCAGAACCGTGACAAGCCCCGAGTCCTACAGCAGGACCTGGCGCAGCCTCGCGGGGCTCCAGGTGTGTCTGGTACTGCGGTCGGCCGCAGCCTGCCCACCCTTCACATTGGCCTGACGCAGCACTGAACATGCTTGTCCTGAGGAAGTGGATGACTTCCCCTCTTACTGAGATCAGTATTAGTGCCCGAGGGTGGGTGAGTCCACGAGAATACTGGACCCAAGCACTCCGGTTCTGGGGAAGAGCACCCGCCATTTTCTAAACTAGACGCGCATCCCGTACTCGGACTCCACACACTGGCAGCCTGAGGTAGCGGAGGGATAAGAACCCTGTCTCATCAGCAGAAATCTGATGGAAGTTCTAGTGCATGAAGAATGGCAGGAACGTCCCCTGAACTTAAAATAGCATCTTACCTGTGCACCGTGATCGGCTGATCTGGGGTTTGGTGAGGTTAAGCTCAGAGCCTCCACGGATGGATCCTGAACCTTGGAGGACAGAATGAGTAAATTCAGACTTTGTGAAATGTCTTCAGCTTTTCCTTATGTGGTAGAGGCTCGTGTTAGTGGTTCTCTTTGAACCAAGCCCTCACTTTAGCACCCTTCCACATACGAGCCCAAGGCTGTGAGCGAGACCCCGGGGCTGGGATGCTGCTCAGTGGTCAGCGCTTGCCTAGCACGAGCCAGGTTCTGGGTTCCATCCCCAGCACCACAAAAATTAAATAAATATGATCATATGTGGGTAGATTCTGGAGCCCCACCTCATTCTCCATTGGAATCTGGGGTGTGGGGAGTGGGGTTTGTCTGTCTGCAGACTCTGCCGTGCCTGGATGTGCAGGTCACTGGTGCAGGTCACATGACAGCTGCTGGTCAGATGGGCCTTGGCTTAAAATACAGGTTCCCTTAACTTCAGGCTCTGGGTCAGCAGGTCCAGGAGAGAAGCCGACAAATCTGATGATGAATAATTGGCAGGGAGTAGGCAGCTCCTAATGCTCACCAGCCCCAGAAAACTGACCCCAGGAGACACCTGGAGGGTGGCTTGCCCTGTGTGCCTCCCCAAGGGAGCATGTGGTGTCCCTGAGGGAGCAGGAGTCCCTGTCTGGAACACCTCGGCCACGCGGGTTTCTGTTGGGTTGGATTCACGCTGAATGTCGTGGCATTTAAGTAGCATCTGCAAGGAGAGGGTGTCCGGATGAAGGGAGCGGGGTGGCTGCCAGGTGCTGGACCTCGCTACTGAATTCCAGGTTCTGCCGCACACGCAGAGAAGGGAGCTGCAGGGAGTGGGAGCGGCCCTGGGGGCTTGGCCCAGGGAGGGCTGGCTGCAGTGTGGCCGCGCCATGGGGCGTGGAGCGGCAGAGGAGTGGCAGAGGAGGGCTCTGGCTCTGTGCTGACCGTGGGTCCCTTCTTCGCAGTGATGTTCATCCACGCCTCGCTGCGGCTGCGGAACCTCAAGAACAAGGTGGAGAACAAGATGGAGGGGATCGGTCTGAAGAGGACCCCCATGGGCATCGTCCTGGACGCCTTGGAACAGCAGGAGGAGAACATCGGCAAGTTCACCGAGTTCATCAGCAAAGTGAAGGAGTAGCCGGGAGCCAGGCTCCGGGCCGCTGCCCTGGGCCGCAGTCCCCCCGGTCCACGCCCACTTTCCTCAGTGTCTGAGCAGGAGGTGCCCGTCTTACCAGCCAGCTCTGTATGGCAGCATGCTCCACGGGCGTCCTCCTACCAGCCCCGACGGTACCCAGGGAGGCTCTCAGACACCATAGAAAACCACCCTCCTGCTGGCCTCGGGGTTTCCCGAGTGTCTGTGAAAGACACCCGTGGACTCCACAGCCAGCCAGCGCAGCGGAGCGTCCAGACAGCCGGCCGACCCCACCGCGCTAGCCTGTGTCCCCTCCCGCACCCCTCGAGAGCCCCCGGGATGGCCCCGCGTGGGGTGCAAACTAGCTTAGTCTGTATTGTTATTCTTCTGAAATCAGAGGGGATCTCTCTCACCTGGCCACCTGTTGGGCGTGCAGTGAACGCTGGTCAAGCCAGTTCTTTCTACTTTGTTTACGAATATAAAGATAGCTGTTTAGGATATTTTGTTAAAGTTTTGTAAAAATTTTTTGGAAACGCTCGTCCTGTTTCTTTTCACCAGCAGGTGGTTGCTGCAAACTGAATGTCCTCTTCCCTAAGGTGGTTACACTGGGTAGCCCGTGTCCCTCTTGACAGACTTGTTAAAAGACACAATAAAACCGAACTTGGATTCCGTGTGTTGCACATTTTTTTTTAAAGAGAGAGAGGAGAGAGAGAGAGAGAGAGAGAGAAATTTTTAATATCTATTTTTCAGTTTTCGGTGGACACAACATCTTTATTTTATTTTTATGTGGTGCTGAGGATCAAACCCAGCGCCCCGCGCATGCCAGGCAATCGCGTTACCGCTTGAGCCACATCCCCAGCCCTGCACATTTTGTTGTTGTTGTTATAACACACAGAAAAAGGTGCCCGAGATCATGTTTCTTGTAAGTTTCCCATGGTTTCGTTTTCAACTGGAACATTTAGGAAAACACAAGAAATGTGCGTTTTTATCAATTCCCTGGGGGCACAAAGAAGCAGAGGATAACTCCTCTGTTTGAAGTTTGAAAAGCGTCTTCAGACAGCCAGGTGAGAGGCTTCTGAAAGGAGAAATGGTCACTGGTTTCTGCACTCCATAACAATCTGGGATAGCAATCGTGACAACCGTGTGCTTTGACAGACATTAGGGGTAAGAAAGCATGAGTCTGGGTGTCCCTTTACTGTCATGTATTTACAAACAGATCACGAAGGATGTGGGCTTGCTGATGGGACAACTCCATCCGTGAATCGAGCCCTGAGGCTTTCCTACCTTGGAACTGTGCAGACATGGGGGAGGCACTTGCTGGGGAAATTCTCTGCATGTCCTAGAGTGAAGAGCACTGGCATTTTCCTGCTCTGGATTCTTCTTGCAAATTTCTCAGCCATCCCGGAGCATCTGCTTAGACCTGTGATACCACTAGGATCCCAGATGCAGAACACCATGACATGTACATGGTGTCAGTTAGCATCCCATTTTAAAAGCAGGTTAAATTCTTCAACCAGGCTCTTTAGCCTGGGAATGGTCAGCAGAAAAACCATCCCGTGAGCTGCTGTTCCTTTCTTGCCAAACCTGGGTACTGAGGCAGGGAATCGGGAAGCTGGATCATCTTTTCTTGGAGCATCCTCGGGTTACCGGTAGCCCTTCTGAAACCCTGGACCTTGCTGTGGTCAGCAGGCACCGGGGCTCCCAGAACTTTGCCTGTGACATCCAGACTGTTTCTAAGCGTGTTTACAGGGCTGGTCCTCAGAGGTTCGCCTTGGTACAGAATGTGCCGACTACTTAGGAAGCATTATTTTTGCAGCCCTTTCTTAACACTCCTGTTAAGAACAATCCTGTTAAGAACAAAGCTGTGGGCTGTTGTCTATTTTAAGTTACACACTGGACTGGAAACTATTTGAATTCGGCTACTTTTGCGCAAATTATGTTCAAAACAGAGACGCGCCGTGTTTTTTTTTATCCTGGCTCATCCTTCCAAATCACGTGTTGTTTGCCCCCTTTGAAGCTGTCCTCTCCCACCCTGCTCTGCCTGCTGGACATCAGCCGTGACCCCCACAGGGGGAGGAAGGCTGTGCCCAGAGTCTGTCCACCCAGATAAAGAGCCGACTGATTCCCAGCTCAGGTCAGTCCTATTACTATAGAGCCTCAGATTGATTCTACGCACCTAGTGACCAGGATGGACAGGTAAGGGCTCTGGGAATGGGGCTGGAGCAGCCCGGGATGTCCTTGTGGAGATCATCGGAACTGGGCACCGGCTTTGGAGACCGGATGGGGCTTTCATATGTGGGGGCAGAGAAAAGCCTTTTGGGGACCATCCTGTGCAAAGGCCCTGGAGCATACAGAGATGTCTTTACCAAGAGGAGCATGAAGGGCTTGTGGGGCAGGAGACTGGTAGCCCTCTGGGGCGAGTCAAGGGAGCTCTGAAGGGTAGGTTGGGGAATTCAACCCCATCAACTTCCTTCAGAAGGTCTGGAGGTGAGCAAGATCAAGTCAGACTCAGAGATGGAAGTCAAGACACCTGATGTGTGCATACACCTACAATAGCCCTCCCCTCTATTATTCATCTCCCTATTTCTTTCTCTACAGAGCTGCAGGTTGTCCCCCGCTGCCACATACAGAAAGGCTGTCAGGAAGCGTTTTCACAGATGCAAGGGTGACTCTTGGTATTACTGTTTTGGTGACACTCGGTCCACATCCTCGGGCTTCGGGGTGGTGCTCCTGAGACAGCCCTCTCAGAAGAATAGCCCAGAACATGGAGGGGTCTCCGGGGGAGAGAGCCATTTCCAAACCTGGGTGGGCCAGGAACACACCTGCCCTTCACAGGTCGGGGAGAGGTGGCCTCCTCCCTGTGTGGTGTGTGGCGGGTGACAGCACAGGGGCTGGCGGGAGGAACAGCGTGAGCACCAAGACAACACCCCCGTCACGTTTATTGTTATCAACCACAAGAAAGCGAATGTTTACAAAAACGTCTCAAACTGCTGCTTCTGGAAGCCAGACTCAAATCCCGCCCCAGTCACCCGGGCTGATTGGCAGTAGAAAGCGTGGCCCGCGAATATTAGATTCTCTCTCCATCCACCCTCCTCTTCTGCCTGTTTCCTGCGTGGCCCGAGCTTCGCGTCTCTTACGCAGGCCCCAGGTGTTCGGGGACACGCTCCCAGCTGTGCCGCTGAAGCAGCCCCCAGCTCCAACCCCACAGCCGCTGCTTCCGTCTCTTGTTCTTCTAGATCGTTCTGTTGCCACTTACGCCAGTTCTTTTGGCAGTTGCACCTGTGATTGAAGCATTGGAATGAATCCTGGAAATTCAAGAAGTTCACAGCAAAAGTCACAAACCCAGGCCTCCATGGATACAGAATGGATAAGAGATCCTGGCCCGAGAGCCCTCCAAAGTCACGATAGAGGGGCTGGGGACATGCTCAGTCGGTAGAGTGCCCGCCTGGCATGCACAAGGCCCTGGGTTCAGTCCCCAGCGCCACCAAAAACTAACAAGGAAAGAAACCAAATCACGATAAAACAGCAGCGGCCTCGGCCACCACGCATTGGGCTCTTTCTAACAACTGGGAGTGTGTCCGGGTCTTTGGGCACGTGGAAAATGTCATCACAGGAAACAAGGGGACCAGGGCTGGCCTGGGCCTCAGTTCAAAGCGGTCACCCACATTTACAGTACGGGTGGTGCCGAGTATCGATTTCCCTAGTAGTTGTTGTTTTTAATATTTATTTTAAAATATTTTTTAATTGTGTTGACCCAATACCTTCATTTTATCGATTTACTTATATATGGTGCTGAGGATCAAACCCCGCGCCTCATGCATGCTAGGCAACCGCTCTGCCGCTGAGCTACAGCCCCAGCCCTCAATTTCCTGAGTGGTAAAGTGACAATAACTATCCACTCACAAGGGTAAAGATTAAGTTACAGAATACAAGAGAGTCCTCAATAGTAACACTGACTTTTATAAACATCTCACTACATCGTACGATGTCCTTGCACAGAAGGAAGTGGCTCAGAAAAGAAAGTCACTTCCCTTAGGACACACAGCTAGGAAGTACAAGATCAGGATTTGGACCAACTCTGTCTATAAACATGCCGCTACAAGATATATTATTTGTCCTCTTGGAAAGGTACTCATTTGTTGCTCAGTAAAATTTTAAAATATTACAAAAATTCACAAAGAGTAATGTAAGTCCAACTGCCAACCTGCTTCCTACTCCTGTTTCCTGGAGAAGATCAGCGGAGCAGAGGAAAGGGCTTTGGGGAGGGAATGGGGAAGCACTGGGGAATGCTGCTGACTAAATTCTGTCTCTCACACACGTGTACAAATATGTCACAGCGAGTCCCACCGTTATGTGTAGTTAAACTGCACCAGTAAAGACGGGGGATTAAAAGACCTCACCCTTCTCAACTCCAGTCCCTGGTGATGATGATCGTCGGAAAGAGACAGACCAACTGGAGACCCACGTCTCAGGAGGGTTTCTCATGTACATACCTCCCAGAAGATGCTAAGAGAAGTTAAGGGGATGCCCTGTGCAATGACCAAGGCTGTTTCTCTCTGGACGGTCCATCTCCACCCAGGCTCCTCCCGCAGCCAGGTCCTGCCCACGACCTTGCCTAGGAGAGTTACCCAGCACCTGCCCACCTGAGAGGAAGGTGTATGTGCTGCCATCTGCCCAGCTTCAAGCCAAGGGTCCCCCGTGAACTGCCGCCCTGTGCCCTTGGGAGGGGTGGGACTGGCTGTACCTGGCGGGGCTCACCCATGGAAAACACCGATCATTAAGAGCACTGAGCAACAAAGAGGTCAGGCACTTAACTATACAACATTGTCGTAAGGTCACGGTTGTCAAAATGGGGTCCAGGAAAAGGCTGCACCAGCATCACCAGAGAACCAGCGAAGACTGGGAATCCCCAGGCCCCACCGAAGGCCTATGGAATCCAAGACTCTGGGGTGGGCCCTGCGATCTATTAAATCTTGAGCATCTCCACATAGACTTTAGAAGATTTTATATCAAAAACCTTTCCCGCTAGCTATTATGGGAAGGTAACGTCTGGTCTAAATGGTTCCTGGATTATAGATGTTCTTTTGAGGTGACCTTGAAATGTCACCCCCCCTTTTTTTCCTGCAATCTCCCTTTTTAAGGATCATAGCATTTTCACAGTTATGGTTCACATTCAGCTTTGGCTCTCATAGGTTCTCCTGATTTCTTTTGTGGGGGCAGGAAAAAGGACTTTGAAGGTAACTCTAAGGTTTTAGATCTGAATGCAAGAGAAAATGCACACACCAAACATGCTGGTCACTGTGACCAAACACCTGGCAGAACAGCTCAGAGGAAGAAAGATTCATTTTGGCTCACAGTCTCAGGGGTTTCAGTCCACGAGCATTTGGCTCCTTCGCTCTGGGCTCAAGTGAGGCAGAATTAGGGTGTGGTCAAGAGAGCTGCTCAACTCAGGCAGCCAGAGAGCAGAGGGAGGCGGCCAGGGACAGGGGACAGTCCCCAGAAGTCCACAAGGGCTGGATCTGCTGGTGAGGTTACAGCCCTCAGGATCTGGTCACTTCCTCAGAGCCCCAGTTCAGAAACTGGCTGCGTTGGGGACCATACTGTCAAACCTTGAGCCTTTGGGGACACATTGCAGGCTCAAAGCATGACACCGAGGAAATTTGGGAACCAGATACAATATCCAGGACCAAACAGGAAAGCTCACTTTGGGGAAGCTTTGAACAAGAATGCTAAGGGAACCTTGGGGACCTGCAGGGAAAAGGGCACTGGGGACCGTTCCGGATGACGTGGTACTGACACAAAAGGAGAAGATGGGAACAAACCGGCAAAAGGATAGGACCTCAGAACCTGCCAGGAGAGAAAGAAGATCGTACAAGTGAGGCGAACAAGGGCGGCCAGAGGCAAAGATGAAGGCTCAAGTCTCGAATCTTTTTTGGGGTGCAGGGGCAGTACCAGGGATTGAACTCAGGGGCACACAACCACTGAGCCCCATCCCCTGCCCTACTTTGTATTTTATTTAGAGACAGGGTCTCCCTGAGTTGCTTAGTGCCTTGCTTTTGCTGAGGCTGGCTTTGAACTCACGGTCCTCCTGCCTCAGCCTCCCCAGCCGCTGGGATTACACAAGTCTGGAATCTGAAGTCAACAATCACAGCAGGTGCTCGTTCACTCCGGAGCCTTAGGGTGAGGGAGGCTGCAGGGGACGTCAACATACTGCAGTCATTTTGCAGGGTCCTTAAGCCAATTGCCTGGGAGCAGTTCAGAGGTGAACTAGATACATGAGGCCAAAGGCAATTGGAGTGAATGTCCTTGCCCCGCGTGGAACCTGGGGGCTCCTGGCAATGCGAGTTGGCCTCAGTGGGCTCTGAATCTCAGTGAAAGGTGCCAACACTCCTGGGGCGGGGCGGCAGGGGCTGAAGCGCAGCCGGGTGAAGAGTGGGGGGATTGACTTTCGCCAGGGAGGAGCCCAGGCCAGCATTGCGCCTCTGCTTTGTGCTGGGGCCACAGCGACCCAGAGCTGTGGACAAGGCCTGAGTAGCAGGAGCAAAATAGGAACTTCCACAGGGGCCAAGTGAGGGATGTCAATGAGCCAAGGGTGGCAGGTGAAGTCAGGCAAAGAGCCCGCCTGACTCCATGCCACCTCTCTTCTCCCCGGGTGCCTGCCCCAGGAGGACTCAGGTGCCCTCCAAGACTCAGAGGGAACTCACGTCGGATTTAGAAAATGAAGGACTGATCACCGTGCTCCTAAGACATGAAAGTAAGAAATGCACGTGTGTGTGCATGTGAATAAGCCGCAGTTGTCTTTTTTGAATGCAGGGCTAGGGAAGTAACCACTGTCTTATGTTAGAAGAGCTCTTCAAAGCAGGAAAAAATACAAGACTGTATAAAAATACAAGATTACCTAAAAAATACAAGATTATATAAAAAAATATAAGATATGTATCCACATATCTTAAAAAAAAAAACAAAAAAAAACTGTGACCCTCTAGGCTGAAATCATACATCTGACCTCTTGGCTAAATCACAGGCAAGATTTTTGAAATAATGCAGCCCCGTATCCGTCTGTGGAATGTTCTTGAGCCTGTGTAAATACCAGCATCATGACAAAAGAACTCTCGTTTGTGCAACCTCAGCGGCAAGGAATACAGCTTCTTCTCCTAGTGGGAGACTGAATCAGCAAACTGAAATGCTGGTAAGATCTCCTGAACCTGCAGGGATTCACGGACGGCAGCCGAAGTCCACCGTCTCTGCCCACCCAACAGGGTGAATGCAGCTCAAGTGGCGTCTCCTCATCTGTACAAAGCATCAACTCCGGGGCCTTTTCCCCAGCTACCCAGAAGCCTAACCTCGTATCCTCTTTCCTCTTTGTGCCTCCCAGCAGGTCCTTGGGGATCTCTGTGAGCTCTGTGTTTGTACTTGGGGGTTCACAATAGCAGGGTGAATCAAACCCTGACCCTGAACTCAGAAGGGGAGTGATTTCAAAGTTGGCTCTGCCACTTCTGAGCTGAACCCCCTAGACAGGTGCTGAGCATCTCTGAGCCTCCGTCTCCTCTTTATAAAGTGGGGAGGACAACGGCACCTACATTACAGAAGGAAGACAACTCTGTGACTCAGCTCCGGCTCATGGGAAGGGCTCTGCAGACAGAGCTGCTCGGATTCGTGTCCCAGAACTCACTCATTCCGGTGTAGTCCTGAGGGAGGGCTGGTGCTTCAGACCCACGGGGCAGCTCCCTGTGCTCCCCAGGAAGTCGGGACTGGTGTCTGCGAGGGGCGCAGGGGACAGACGGGAGCTGGGGCGCACGTCATGCGAGGCGGGTTCACCGTCCCCCCTTCTACTTACGGGTTTAAGGTAGGCGACGTTGCTGTGACGGATGTCATTCAGGAGCTGGTCTCTGGGTGTGATCTCCACCAGGGGGGGTGGCCGGTTTCGGGGCACGGGTTTGAGCGTCTTGATCACGTCTTTGAGGTTGGTTTTCTCGGGCGGCTCCTTGGCCTCCGGCATGCGGGATTTGCGTTGGATCCTCTTCAGCTTCACCACCCGGAAGGAGTCGGGGTCCGTCTTGTACTGCGGAGGCTGAGACGGCTTTTTCGCCATCTCGTTTCTGCGGCCGAAGGGGACCGCGTGGGGACCGTGGGGGCCGTGAGGGCCGGGAGGCCCGGGAGGCGGCTGGAGGAACTCCTGCATCCTGGGGTCGGGCATGGGCCCCCCCAGCCTCTCCCACATCCCTGGGGGCAGCCCCAGGCCGTTCTCCAGCATGGCTATGAGCTTCCTCTGCTCCTTGAGCTGCTGTTGTTTCTGTTCTTCTTGCCTTTTCTGCCTCTGTCTGTCCTGGTTCCTGGTGAGCAGATTCGTGACCACCATCCGGGGACCCGGGAGCTCAAAGTGGTAGCCCACCTTGAGCAGGGTGTGGTTGGCCTTCAGCAGCCGGGAGATCTCCATCTCGGCGTGGTGGCCCAGCATGTGCCTCTGGTTGTGGAAGCGCAGCTCCGTGAGGGTCTCGTTGAACTGCAGGCACCGCATGATGGCCACGATGCCCTTCCCCGTGATGAAGTTGGACTCGATGTTGAGCGTGCGGATGCTCCTGTTCTCCCGCAGCATGTTGGCCAGGGCGAAGGCCACGCTCTCGTCGGCGCCCACGTTGGCCAGGCTGAGCGTCCTCACGTGCTTGTTCTTCTTCATGGCGCTGACGAAGTCCAGCAGCATCTCCCGGGGGATGTTCTCGATGTTGTTGAGGTTCAGCTCCTTCAGGTCGGGGTCGTTCTGCCTCACGCGCCTCAGGCTGCCGTCCAGGTCCGTCTGGTTCCCCGAGGGCCTCGCGCTGACCTTCAGGAAGCTGGTGTCCAGAGCCAGCTTTTTGGGATCCAGTTTGGAGACTTTCTTCTCACTTTTTTCCTGGGCTGCGGGTTGGTTCCCGTGTTCCTCCGGAGCTCTGGTGGCCGTCCGGGGGCTGCTGCTCTCGCCGTTTCCGACCGGATTCTGTGCTTCTCCCGGCTCACCGTTGTCCTCCTCTTCCTCTTCCTCTTCCTCTTCTTCCTCCTCCTCCTCCTCTTCCTCTTCTTCCTCTTCCTCCTCCTCCTCCTCCTCCTCTTCCCCATCCTCCTCGTCCGCTTCCTGCACACCGTCGCTGCCGTCGGATTCTCTTTTATGTGCCGCGATTTCGTCATTGAGCTTTTCTTTCAGGAACCGGAGCACGTTTTTATTCCCTGGGTCTCTGGCCTCCTGCCGTCCTGGAGTGTTTTCCTAAGAGAGAGTTCACGTGGGTTAGAGCCCACAGCAACCAGGAAAGACAGGAGAGAAACAAGGCTCCGTCAGAAACCACGAGGTGAAACCCGCAGGACCACAGAGCGCTGCCTGTGCACAGAGGCTTGTGACTGTAGGTAGAGCAACAGTCGGCAGGCTCCTAAGGAAGGAGGTGACCCCTAAGAAAACTCCAAGGAGAGGAAGCATTTGGGGGCCCTTCACTTTTACCTTGTATAATTCTAGAGTGTTTGAGTTTTCTATATAAAGAAACCTCACATATTCTTGGCAACCAAAACAAAGACCCATTTTCAGTGACGATTTCAGCTGTGTCTGTCTCATCTCCTACTCAGTGGTCCCTGGGTATCCTTCGGCGACCCACACCAGGGTTCCAGGAGGTGGGGTGCACCATCCTTTATACAATGGCGTAGTGCTTGCACCTAACCTAGGCAGATCTTCCCAAGGACAGGCTCTTCACGTCCTCTCCAGTTTACTTATAATAACTAACACTACACAAACGCTGTATCAGTCGAAAGTTATACTACGCTGTTTAGGGGATAATGACCCCAAGGAACCTGTCCCGGTTCAGTTCACTTGCAAAAATTTCCTTGCTGTGGTGCTGGGGATTGAGCACAGGGCCCGGCACATGCTAGGTAGGTGCGCTACCACCGGAGGATGTGGTATTTACTTTGAGGCAGGATCACATTAAGTTATCCAGGCTGGACTTCAACTTGTGATCCTCCTGCCTCAGCCTCTCAAGTAGCTGGGAGTACAAACCTGTGCCGCCACTTTTGGCTTCAATTTTATATATATATATATATATATATATATATATATATATATATATATATATATATATATATATTTTTTTTTTTTTTTTATCCATGGTTGGTTGAGTCCAGGAAGGTGAACCCCCAAGGATAGTGAGGGCCAATTGTAATTAAAATAAAAATAAAACCTAGCTTACTTTATTGTCAGATTTTTAAAAATTATTTTTTATGGTTTTTATCTGAATGTGTGGTGCTGGGGTGTGGGAGGGTCAAACCCAGGACCCTGTGCATGCTAGGCAAGTGTTCTACCATGAAACTACAACCCCAGCCTTGTTTTATTTTTAAAGTAATCTTCAGTTCCAGAAGCAGTAAAGGTTATTTGTTTTGCAAACTTTATACAGTTTTTATCAACACACTGAAGTCTTTGTTTGACATATAGCTGAATAGGGTCTTTGTATTCCATAACCCTGGGTTACACAGTAGTTTCCTTATTGCTCTAAAATTTACATGCCTAAAATGTCTGCAAATCTTATATAACGTGTAGATCCCATTTCCCTGAGACTATAACATAATGTGGGGTAAATGAGAGCAGTTTGGCAATTTGGAATACGTATTTTTTTTTTTTTTTTGAAACCTTGATTTGGATTTCATGTGCTCAGCTCTGTGAAAACTGCCCTGGTTGTTCCAGAAACCAGCTCACTGTTCTTGTTTTTTTTTTTTTTTTTTGAGGAACAGTGCCTAGAAGGAAGAGCCACTGTACAAGCAAGAGTGTTGTGCAGAGATCTAGAAATTGCAGGTTTGGGGAGGAAAGTAGCTGTCCCTTGACAGTGTTTTTAGAGACTTGTGCATTATTGTGCTTTTCTGTACAAGATGTGTACCTCATGGGTGTCATTTTGACAGTGAGTGCAGCAATCAGAGATGCAGGCTTCTTTGAGCACAAACTCCATCTCATGACATGTGGCCGGTGGGGGTGGACCATTGACCCCTGCCCTTCACCACCTAAGGCCCCTTCCCCCGCACTTCTCACCTATCCCAGCAGGGGGAGCCACTACCAAGCCGTTTAAAGTACACCAGCAGAAGGAATGGTGTTTGAAAGTCCTCCTTTTGTTCCCTCTAACCCTGGTGTTCACATAGAATCACCTCCGACGTAAAAGGTCTATGAATTTTATCTTCAGCTCTAACCTCATCAAGCCAGCCATGCATTTTCCAAAGCTGAGAGCGTGTCCAAGTTCTCCTGAATGTGAAACCCGTTGTCCACCTCCCTGAATGCCAGCCAATGGGACAGTAATGTGACAATGCACAGCTCTGTCAGCCAGCACACCTCAAAGAGACTTCACCTGGATGGCCACTGTCTTGTTTCTGCCAAATTATTATTTTTTTGTTTTGTTTTGTTTTGTTTTTTTCTGCCAAATTATTTTTAAGTGGAACTTTTTTTTTTAAGTGGAACTTTAAAAAAAAAATTATGCTAATGCAAAGTAAATTTTAGAATCAGTAACAGTTCCATTTTTTCGACCTAAAAAATTTTGAGAAAAACTAGAAACAGCTTACTACCATGACACTTACTAAGTGTCGTCACGGATACCCAGTGCATGGTGGGAACGTTACACATTTTTGGTTGTTTTACCTGGTCACTTGCAGGGTATGGGCTAGACCTCTGGGGTACCGTGAGGTCTTTGACATTGTGCGTGGAGTATTGCATAGGTGAGGACGTGCCAGAGAGAGGACCCAGAGCTCCCGTGAGCCCCTCAAGGGGGCCTGCCGGCCAAATAAATAAATTCAATAAAGTAGGTGCTCAGAACACCTGCTCCTGGTCACGAGTTGGGGCCCCTGAGCACGGGGCCACATCCACCGGCCTTCCAGCAAGCAAAACCGAGAGGCCGATGAGAAATGACCCGCCTTCCCCTTGCAGCTGTGCCAGGGGTTTCAGAAAGTTCCAGTCTGCAGTGGGGTCGAACCTTACCGCACACGCTAGGATGTGGCAAAACCGCAGGACCCAACGCCGCCGCCCCGAGCAATCCCAGGGGACACACAGACAGCCGACAGCCGGCCAGGGGCCACCTGTCAGGACAGGTGCTGGTTACCTCAGACCGCACAAAGGTGACGGGGACGCGCTCATCTTCCAGCATGCGCCTGGAGGCCTTCTGCAAGTACATGTAGTCCACCAGGGACTTGTGGTCGAAGGTCCCCGTCGGTGGCTTCTCGGTTTGGTCCTTCTGGATCATTCCCACGGGAAGGCGGGGGTCCGGGGCCATGACTTCCATTTCCGACTGCAGTTCCCTCAGCTCTTCGGGGGACAGGTTGGCCAAGAGCTCATCCTCGTCCAGCTCACCCAGCTCCTCTTGATCCGAATTCCTGCTGTGGCCCGACATGGTCTGTTTTTTTCCTGTTTGTTTCTAATTTCACTAGAAGAGAAGAAATTATCAAAGCTGATTTCAAAAAGAAGAGGAACACAGAGGCACTCCAAGCAGCCCTGCTGGTGAACAGGTGAGCAGGTCAACCCACCTTGAGATCTCTCCCCAGGAGCCTCAGTGGGTTTGCCGAGCGGCGTGACTGCAGTTCAGCCCCGGCAGATCTATATTAAGCAGGGCTGGGCTGCCCGGGGTCAGTTGATGGGGTTACTACGCTGCTCTCTCTTGGGCAACTCAGTCAGCTGTGCAAATCCGTCTGACATTTCAGCACAGCTGCTTAAGCCCGCCACTGAGCAACGGGTCCACAAGTCTTGCAGGAATAAGCTCCTCTCCCCAGGAGCCCTCAGATGGCCACAGGGGCTCAGTGCAGCTTCAGCTGCACACCCTGGGCCTCCAGGGAGCCCACTCCTCTGTATTTAAGTGCTGAAAACAACTTACAAGCTGTCCGAAGGGAAACCCATCCACCAACCTCAATTCTCCTGGAGTAGAAAATTCACTAGGAGGTGAATGGGGTCCTCAGGGCTGGGGCTTTGCTTCTGCCTGACCCTGGAAGCCGGGCAGCCTGGGAGAGTAAGCAGCTCTCCACCCCGTGTAAGCTGAACCCTGGCGAGGTGTCCTTATTGCACCAGGATCCTGTGATCCAACAGATGTGGATAACCAGCGCTAGAATTTCCACGACCGGCGAGGATTTTAATGTCTTAAATTATTTGTTTTTCTTATGCAGCATTCATGAAGCCTGGATACATTAAAATGGATTGAAAGTGAAATGTAAAGAAAATCTCAGACAATTAAAATACTCAAAGAAACCATGAGAACATTATCATTATTATTATTATTATTTTTGGTAACCTCAGGAGGCAAAGTTTATCGAAATTACCAGTGCACATTTGCTTTGACCCTGGAATTCTACCTCTAGAAATGCAGGAGGCTCCCACCCACAGGAAGTGGCAGGTGTAGAAGTTGACACAATGTAGCACAGCACAAAGGCTTGTGTGTTACATGGTATTTATGTGTCAACCGATAAAAAGGAGAATGTGAGGGGCTGGGGCTGGGGCTCAGCCATAGAGCGCTTTTCTCACATCTGTGAGGCCCTGGGTTCCATCCTCAGCACCATATAAATACAATAAAGGTATTTGTCCACCTACAACTTAAAAAAAAATATGCAAACACAGAAGAGACACCAACATAACACATCTAGAAGAGGTATGCAAAAAAACAAAATCTTTTTTGTTTGTTTGTTTGTGGTGCTGAGGAGAGCCTCGTGCATGCCAGACAAGCACTCTACCACCAAGCCACATCCCCAGCCCTTTATTTTAAAATTTTAAACTTTACTGTAAATATAATATTTATTCAGAAATATGCATTTATTACACAGAAGTTAGGATAAGGGTAGATACGGAGAAAATGAAAGTTTCCCCTATCTCACTGCTGAGCCTACTGTTGACATTTCAGTTTATGATTCCAGTTGTTTGTTTTAGGCCAGCCAACTCTGTGATCCTCTATGTGTTTTTGTTTTGCTTTCTTCTGCAGGACTGGGAACTGAACCCGGGGCCTCCTGTTTGCTTGGCAAGTGCTCCTCCATAGAGCTCACCTCAGCCCTGTCTGACTTTGACTGACAAAAATCAGGAATCGGCTTTCTATGCCTTTATATTTTCTACAACTAGTTTTTAAGATCTCCCCGTTTAAGAGTTTTTAAGAGTTATTGTTTGTAACTGCATAGTTTATGTGACCAGTCCTTAATTATTGAATATTTAGACTGTTTTCATTAGTCACAAGCCTGGTTCTCCAATAAACATCCTTGTAGCCAATATGTTTAAAACATGCCAATTTATTTCCTTAGGCTAAACTGGATAAATGCCAAAAGGTGAAGTTGCTGGGTCAAAGAATAAGAAGAAAGTGAACACTTCACACGTGTATGGTAACACACCCCTTCATGTTACTGCATCCATCCCCAGGATGTGGAAATCATTTGTGTACATTACACACACATTACTGTTCCGATATTATGTATGGGCAGCCCTCCACACTAGAGGGGTCTGCATCCACCGAGCCAACCAAACACAATAAAAATTTATTTTGGGGAAAAAAAATCGCACATGTAGACTTATTTTCCTTGTCATTTTCCCTGAACAATACAGCATAACAACTATTTACACAGCACCGACGCTGTCTGAGGCCAAAGGGAAGAAGCGCACAGGTCATGTGCAAGTGCTGTGCTGTCTCATGAGAGGGAGTCGAGATCTGCAGACCCTGGTATTTTCAGGGGATCCTGGACCCAGTCCCTGTAGATACCCGGGGACAGCCGTATTTACATAATCTCAAAACTCGCAAAAGTGAAAAAGAATATAAGCAGTTGTAAGTGGATATTAAATAAATTCTAATACCTCGGGGGGCAGGAAGACACCCGAGTTTGTGGACCGTGGTGTAGACTATCATTTCACAGACTTGGCTCACAGAACGGTGGTCTAGAGAGACCCCACAGGGGCTGGGGCTGTAGCTCAAGGTTTAGAATATATTCTCAGCATGTTTGAGGCCCTGGCTCAGTTGCTAGCACCACAAATAAATAGAGGCTCAGCTGAAAAGAGATCTGGGAAATGTTATATTCTGCTTTTTTGCATTTTAGACGTTTGTAAAGTGTATTTGCACTTAGAGACTCCAAGAAACCTTACACTAAAGAAACCCATGTGTTTAACTGATATTCCCAACCTTTTAAAATCATCTACTAATATTCCATGTCATTAACTTTCCAAAATATCTATATTTGGGAAATGCTGATCCAAATAGAAATGAAGAGGACCTGGGGGGAGTCCACCTGGAGCCAGATCCCAGCTCCACCTCTTATTAACTAACTTCCTGCTATTGAGCAACCTATGGGTCCATAGCTAATAATAATGTACACAATAAGCAGTTATGGAGAGATTTAAATGAGGCAATATATGCATACACAATTAAGTAGGAAAGTGCACAGCACAGAACAAGCCCTCAATAAATGTTAAATATTGTTATTCTCATAATTCAGGGATAACCACAGAAGCATTTAAAGAAACACAAAAACAATTATTTTAAAAAAAAACGTTTCTGGAGTTGTAGCTTAGTGGTTGAGTGCTTGCCTCGCATGCATGAAGCACTAAAATAAATAAACAAAGAAATTGTTTCCATCTACAACTAAAAAAATAGAAAAAAACATTTCCATGACAGAAACCATTTTATAAACAGCAATAAACAAAAGAATGTTTTAAAATCTTGTTGCTTTTACAGAAAACAACCGAGGGGCATTTAGAGGCAATGGTATATAAAGAAAATAGAAACCCACGATGTGCATATAAATGTGAATCTTTCCAAGAACAGCACCTGAGTGTTTGCTTGGGTGCTTTCAAATTCCAGGTCTGCTCTGAGGAATTGCGCTTCTCTGAGCACGACCTCGCTCCTGCGGGCCAAGCTGACTGGGGAGTTTCTGCAAGGGTGCTGCTTTGCGGGTGCTGCTTTGCGGGTGCTGCTTCACGGGACCGCCTCTTGCGGAAGGCAGCTACGCAGGGCCAATCTCTGCCAGCTGCTCTCCCTCTGCATCTTGCCTTGGAGGGTTCGCTGGTGTAGTTAGCCTCCTTTGACAGAGATGATTTAGTTGTGCTTTCTCTTAAAGACGCTCTGTTGCTGCCGCCTCAGCAGCTTCTCGCGTCAGAATCTGGCTATGACAGCAGAAGGCAGTGGTGGGCTGGAGGACAGTCGATGGCAGGAAGGAGGCCGGGAGGGTGTCAGGGGTCATCGGGCTTCGTGCCAGAGTGTCTGGAGGCAGTTATAGTGAATCGACCCCCTGGACCCACCCAGAAGCTACGGAATCATAATGCTCAACCTGGGTCGTATATTTGGAAAGCTCTCAGGGGATCCTGATGTGTAAATGGGGTGCCAGGTACTCATTATGGGTCGGGACTGGACAGCTTAGGAGAATGGGCATAGGTTTCTTCATTCACCCAGTGGACGGTGTTTGCTGAGTGGGCTCGGAGCCCTGCACGGTGCCAGGGTAGGGCTAGGGGCAACTGAAACAGTCCCTTCTCACGAGGCGGCAAGCAGGGACGAGCTGCTGGTAGCTGGACACTGAGACGGGCACAGCACATTGGAGAAGCGAGGACTGCAGCCCCTGCCGGGAGCCAGGGAAAGCCTCCCCTCAGCAGAGCGCATCCAGGTCTGCAAAGCCTTGGGATGTTCTAGGAGGTGTCCTGGAACCGGACTGTCCTGTGCCAGCAGGAGACGGGCAGGGAGGTGGGCACAGCTGGGTCAGGTGGGCCATCCTGCCCTGGGGAAGCTGAGTCTTCCTGAGAGTGGCTGGGACCCACCCCCCCCCCAAGGCTCCTACACAAGCAAGTGTGGGTGGCCTTTCTGCAAGGTGGCCTTGGCTGCTGGTTAAAGGGCTGGGAAGTCGGGTGGCAGGTAAGAAGAGCCAGGGAGTAAGTGAAGACCAGGCTTCTGAAGGCTGTGACGGTCAAGCCAGTGCAGTGTGTGGGACCTCAGAGGTCCGGGCATGTCACTCTGCAAGGCACACATGAAGCTTAAAAAATCCCCGGTGTTTCCATCGAGAGCTCCGATCTGTGTGGATTGCTGTGCTTGCCACATCCCTCCTCCACACCCTCCCAGCAAAGAGTCCACCAGACTCACAGGAGAGGGAGAGGGGAGGTGGGGGGGATGGAGGAAGGGAGGGAGGGAGAGGGAGGGAGGGGAGGAGGGAGGGAGGGAGGGAAGGGTAGGGGGAGGGAGGGAAGGGAGGGGGACGGAGGAAGAGGGAGGGGGAGGGAGGGGAGGGGGAGGCACGGAGGGGAGTGGGAGGGAGGGAGGGGAGCCATTCTACCTGGGAACAGTGGCACAGGTCTGCAATCCCAGCGACTCTTGAGGCTGAGGCAGGAGGACCACAAGGACCCTGTCTGGGAGGTGGCTCCCTGGTACAGCACTCCTGGGCTCAATGTCCAGTTCTGGGAAAAATTTTTTTTTTAATTATTGGGGAA